GGGGGGTAGGCTTGAGGCAAGGATGTCGAGAAGTCCAAGAGCGGAACGGGCAGGAGTGACATCCTCCTCCTCGCTGGAGAGGTCACCGAGCTCGGTGACAATGTGGAGAGCCTTCAAGGTCATCTCCTCACCAATCCTCAGACCCTGCACCTTGAGCTTCCTGTAGCGAACGCATTGCATGAGGAATGCGAGCGCCTGGGAACGGTAGTCGTCTTCGACGTTGGTGCTTGACGCAAGCTCGAGCATGAAGCGGACGAGATCGCCAAAGTGCTTTGCGAGAAGCGCGGACTCGCAGCCAAGAAGAGTCTGGAAGACCTCGAAAGCTTGCATGGCGCGGTCCTCGTCACCCTCATCGACAGTAGTCTTTAGAACGTTGACCATGCCAGGGATAGACTCCTGGAACAGAGCAAGCTCCTTGGGGCTCTCGTCAGGCTCAAGCAACATAGCTAAGCGGCTGAGACCAAGCATGGTGTTGATCCTGACTTCAACGCTCTGAGGGTCTTGGATGGTGGAGCTGAACAGCTTGTACAGATCGGCTTGCTTGCCGGGGAACGAGTCGCCCGCTGACTCAAGCGTGGTGAAGATGATATAGGTACCGACTTCACGGTGGCGCGCCTCGTTGCTGGTGGCAGCCTGCTGGAGGTAGCCGGGTAGGTCAGCCCACTCGCCATCTTCGAAGTCTTGCGACGCGATAGCCGAGATGACGCGGGCAGCAGAGTGCCGTGTGAGAGTCACGTCCTCGTTCAGTGTGAACTGGAACAGCTGGTTGCGGAGAGAGTTCTTCTGGTCCGCAGGCAGGTTGGCCCAGTGCTTCGTCACCAGCTTCCTAGCCTCGACGGCCGCCAGTTGGCGGAGTTGAGGCTTGGGGTGGCCGCAGAGGATCTGAAGGAGGGCATTGAGAGAGGCGGGGGAGTTGTAGTAGTTCTTGTTGAGGGTGGAGGTAGCGGATTTGACACGCTCGGTGTCGGCTGGAGAAAGTCAGTACAGGTTCTGTGGTAGAGCGGGGTTGGGTAACATACGCTCCATGAGGCCCTCGAGCAGCTGGACAAACTGTTGCTCGTCCATGGCGATGCTCTCACGGTGTGGTTGTGTAGAAAGCAAGGCTGTGGTGATCTATCGCGGGGCAGCGAAGACCTTTGATATTTACAGTTGTGAAAAGAGCGCCGCTCGATAGAAGAAGGTGGGATTTCAACTTTTTTAGTGGGTCCAAAAATTAGGGTCCAAAAGTTAGGTAAGCCGGTTCACCGACCAATGGCAAACGAGCGCGGCAAACTCGAGAAGCAAACGCTGCAGGAGCACGTAGCAGCGCGGAAAGCCTTCGGTGGGGACTCTCCTTTCGGTGTCCCTGTTGGCTAGCGGTCGTAGAGTCTGACCTGGTGCGTCGGTAGACTGCGCTGAGGATCGACTGTGCGAGCTGGCCGAGGTTCTTGAGCTCGAGCATTGAAGCTGCTTCGTAGAGAGGCCGAAGAAAAGCCCTATGAAGGAAGTAGTGTGTCAAATGCCATCACCTGAAGTCGGTGACGGCTCTTCAGGTAGCTAGGAGACGAGACCGCGATGGCTGGCAGTGATGCCATGTGCATGCCGGGAGGTAATGCAGAGGGAAGCCATCTTGTCAGAAGCTTGCATGACAGAAACGAGATGAAGAAACAGCGATACCATGAGAAAACAAAGCTCAATGGATGGAGGAAGCTGGGGGAGCTGGAGATGTAGAGGTTCCAGACAGCTCCAACGCGACTTGATAGGACGCGCTAGGCCAGGGTCTGTGCGGCGGAAAGCTGTTAGCAAAAACAGAAGGAGCAACGGCAGACCAGACAACTCGCCGCTGCCATCACTAAAGAGGAGGCTCTTCCACTACATTCTCTCTTACTCCGAAATTGTAATACCCCACCCCATCTCCGCCGCCCACCCCAGCCATCTGCATACCTCACCAGGACACGTTGCTCGACCCCTCCGCCTCCGACTCCATGGCTTCAGTATGTCTGGCAATTGCCGCTCCAGTCTGACAACATGTGACATCGATACTGACCTCATGCAGCAAGCTCCCAACCAGCCGCGCCCTTACCCAGGCAACTACCTCCCTAATGGCGGCGCTCCCGGTGGTCCCTCAGGCCCAGCGCCTGGAGCTGTCCCGCTGCTCCCCAACCAGGGCCGCGTGATCCAGCAAGGAAGCGTACGAGTGCTGTGCATTGCAGATGTCCGAGGTGAGGGCGACAACAACACCAGAACATCCATTTCATCTCTAACATCAGCCAGGAAACCTGCAATCGCTAAACCAGCTCGCCGCCGACGCCCGCGCAAACTACATCATCCACACCGGCGACTTTGGCTTCTACGACGACCGCTCGCTCGATCGCATCGCCGAGAAGACTCTCAAGCACGTGGCACAGTACTCACCGCTGCTGTCAGATGCAGTTAAGCGCTCCATTGCCACAGCCCCTCCGCAACCGCCTATCAAGGAGCGCTTCGCACGGGAGCACCTGCCACTCTCAGAACTGTCCCTCTTCCTCAACAAGACATACACCCTGAACGTGCCAGTATACACCGTATGGGGTGCTTGCGAGGATGTTCAGGTCCTGGAGAAGCTGCGATCGGGCGAGTACAAGGTGGACAACCTGCACATCATCGATGAGGCGCATTCGCGGCTGCTCGATGTAGGTGGCGTCAAGCTGCGCCTGCTTGGTCTCGGTGGCGCTGTCGTCATGCACAAGCTCTTCGACAACGGCGAGGGCAGGACGACCATTGCAGGTGGACAGGGCACCATGTGGACTACCCTGCTACAGATGGGCGAACTGGTCGACACAGCCAACCGCGTATACGACCCGACCGAAACCCGCATATTCGTCACCCACGCATCTCCCGCTCGCGAAGGCCTGCTCAACCAGCTCTCTGTCACGCTCAAGGCTGACTTCTCCGTCTCCGCTGGTCTGCATTTCCGCTACGGTAGCTCCTACAACGAGTTCAGTGTCAACCCCACCCTCGACCATTACCGCGGAAAGCTCGCTGCATCCAAGGCCTCCTTCAACGATGTTTGGGATACAGTCAAGACTGAAGTCGAGCCCGCGGTCGCTGATAGCGAATCTCAGCAACGCCTGCTGGCACTGGCACTTGACATAGTAAACAAGATGCCAACCGTAGCCAACGGCGGCAACCCATTCGGTGGCCCTGCTCCTGGTCCTCAGAGCGGCCAGATCGACGAGAGCGCTTTCAAGAACATGTGGAACTTCAACCTTGCGGATGCTGCTTACGGTTGGCTCGTACTGGATATTGACAATGGCAGAATCGGTACTGAGATGAGGGCCCAAGGTTTCAACTTCGCTCACCGAGGCGGAAAGGTTGCACCTGGCCAGACTCAGCCCGCAGCTGCAAACACTAGCACTGGTCCCCCAGCTGCCGTGAACCCCAGCCCCTCCGCCCAGCCATCGCCTGCCCCAGGTCGTTCAGCCGGACCACCAGCGAACGCTCCTCAGCAGCCCCGCCCTGCCGTTGCGACCCCACCGGTTCCTCAACAGCAGAAGCAGAATGCCGGCCAGGCTGCACGGACCGGACCCTCGCCCGCCCCTGCTGCTGCACCCAAGGAGTCCGTCAAGGCCGCTACACCCCAGCCTCCGGCCAACAACACAGCAGCAAATGCTACTGAAAAGTCCATTCCAAGCGAGGTCAAGCCCAATGGCACCGGCGCGCCAGAGAAGGCTACATCCCCAGCTCCCCGGGAACCCGTCGAGCGCAAGGAGAGCAAGGGTCTCTTTATCGCCGGTGTAAAGGATGAGGAAGAAGCCAAGGGTCTGCTCGCAGAGGAAGACAGGTCCAAGGTCGAGAAGATGGAGAAGATCAAGCACTTCTTCGTCGCCCACTTCGCCACCTCGCAGGACATGCACGGTGCGCTTCGTCGCGTTGCGGACGATGTCAGGAACGCTAGGGGCGGCCCAGACAACAAGACCGTCAAGGTGTACAACGAGCGCGGCCCTGGTCCCAACCAGCCTAGGTACGGAGCCGGTAGCTGGCAAGCCAGCACCCGTGGTGGTGTCTCAGGCGGCGGCTACCGAAGTGGAGGTGCCTCAGACAGCGAGGGTGGTCGCGGCGGTCGCGGAGGCCGTGGCGGTGCTTCTCGTGGTGGACGAGGTGGCGAGCGAGGCGCACGCGGAGGCCGCGGAGGAAGGGGATCATTCAGAGGTGGTGAAGGTGCTCCCGCAGCATCGACAGGAGGCGAGTCATAAACACTGCCTGACCGCACCTCCACATCCTCACCGACTCTGATACCCCTTCTTTCTTCTTCGGTTCCGTGCTAATGGCTGCCATAGCAAACATGACGCGGTCTGTTCCAGGCGAGTTCGTCTCTGGCGACATCCGCAACCATGTGCTCTAGCTTTTATCATGTTTTCTGGGAGCGATTTTCCATACCTTCTTCGTAGCGGGCGTGGGTTGTGCGGGTTTTCCTTTTCAAGTCCCTGTTTAGATGGGACCAGGATGGGTGGATCGGCGCTTTATGTGGTCCTTGGCTTCCATGTTTTGGATCGCTGGGGCAAGGCTTTCGATGAAGTATGGTATCTATGTACTGTAATCACAAAACATTAAGAAATATGTCGTGAGCAATCGTTTTCGGTCTCTTCGTGTTCTTGATGCATCACAAATGAGGAAAAACTTCAACACTCTGGAGCCTACGTCAATGTTGGGTAATCTATTTTGTATGTTTCTACGTTGGTGTAGGCTGCAAACCTGTTCGGGCTTATCCTGTATGGGGTGGCTGTGTCGTATATCGTCTTTGGGCTGTACCTTGGTTGGGGCGTATGTATTGTCTAGTCTAAACCCAGCGTGACTGCCACATCTTAACCAAGGTACGTTAATTCCTCAGTTAATGTTGTATATATTAAAGAACACCAATTCCTGCCCTCGCCTTTCATTCTTATTCTTGAACTCTTGCAGTATATCACCTGATATCCACCTTGCCTTCTTCAATCATCACCGCTCTGGATACCATCAAGAACATCAAGACCGCTTCAAACATGCCAAAATCCAACATTACGCAAGCCAAGCCAAACTCACAGCCAACACTCCCCGCAGACGAACCCGCATCAGTCTTCGAGTTCTTCGATTCCCTTCCCGCAGAACTCCAATCCCGCATCATCAAATACGCCTGGAACAATGCCATCCACGCATCACCCCTCCATCTCCACGCCGACATCAAATTCCGCCGACCCACTTCTGCAGCCTCTGTACTAGCAGCAAGCATTCCCTGCTCAGTAAATTACAGAGTCCACGCCTCTGTCAACCGAGACATCACCTTGCACCTAACCAGCAAGTTCTTCTCCGCCGAGTGCAAATTCCTCGCTAAGCCGCACCACCTCCACCTCCCCGTTTCCAACTCGAATGGAAGCGGATCTGCGGCAACGAAACCCTGCCTCTTCATCCCAGATAAGGATACCCTGCATATCAACATCAAAGGCGAAATGACGTACAAATACACCGTCCTCTCCGCTTTCGCCATCTTGCCCAAGCTCCTCAGGGAGATGGTCAAACATATTGATATTGACTACACGGACGCACAGGATATGCTCGAGCTCTGCATGCAACTGGGCCCGAAGGGTAGTATTACGAGCTTAATCGGTGGGCTCGGAGCGCCGAGGTTAGAGACTGTGACGATCTCGGTGTGTAGCTTGATTGTGGAGGGGAATCAAAGGATGGGGGTTTTGCCGATGCCTGGGAGGGAGGGTAAGGAGGTGGAGATGAGGGTTAAGGCAGTGGATGTACGGGAGGGGTTGACATTTTGGGAGAGGATTATGAGATGAAAGGGGTGGTGACCACCTGATACAAGGGAGAAACTTAAAACCGTAGAGCCGACGTTGACGTTAGCTCACCTACTTTGCACGTTTTCATCTTAATGTAGGCTATAGGGTGTTTAGTTTTTCTCTTTTATAAGATAGTGTTGGATCGATGCTACGCTCACGTTCGGGCATTTCATCAACGTACTCCTGCTCTGCACAGTACAGGTAACGATGCAAATGTTAAAGACGCGCGCATTCACATGTCTGGAACGCCATGGAAAGGCGACGTGACTGTAGAGTGGGTCGCTTATATAACCGTCTGATGCGCCGAGGTCAGTCCCATCCGCATGCCGCCATCAATGTCACCAAGCCAACCCCATCTTGCCATGCAGCCGCCATAGCTCTTCCGCATGATGCCCGCGCTTATACAAGACAATAGGCGTTTGCGACCCGGTCCCTGAAGGCCGCCTACAAAAACTTCGCGTTTGCCACATTTCATCCACCAATGGCGACGCGACGTGTCCGCGGTAGATCGACGGCAGATAGTCCTAAGCCTCTCCAACACCGTAGCGCCGATGGATGATGCTTGTTGAGACACGACTACCGCGACTCTGGCGAAGGCGAACCAATGCATGACGCAGAAGTCTGTAAGGTGGACCGTCGGACATTGTTGATGCGCGGAGGCGGCTGCCAAACATGGAGATGGTGCCGTCTGGGGCTCGGTGACGTCTCCGACCCCTCCATCCCACCTCCGACAACTTTTTCCCCAGACGACGTTTAAAGGTCCAGAACATCCGCGTTCAAGCACTCACAAACTCTTTACTTTTTCTTCTTGATACCCCAAGTTCAACAATTGCAATCATGTCTCTCGGAAGGAAGGTTACTCTCAACACTGGCGCTGCCATTCCGTGAGTACCCAAACAAACACCCCGCAGACATACGTAGCAATTGCTAACCTTTCTAGCCAACTTGGTTTCGGCACATGGCAAGCTGAGCCTGGCCAGGTCGGCGCTGCCGTCCTCGAGGCCCTCAAGGCTGGCTACCGCCACCTTGATCTCGCCAAGGTCTACGGCAACCAGAAGGAGATCGCACAAGCCCTCAAGAAGGCTTTCGGCGGCGAGGTCCCCAACCTCAAGCGTGAGGACGTCTTCATCACATCCAAGCTGTGGAACTCGCAGCACCGCCCCAAGGACGTGCCCGGCGCTCTCGACGACTGCCTGGCTGAGCTTGGCCTCGACTACCTAGACCTCTACCTCGTCCACTTCCCCGTCGCTTTCGACGAGCGCGGCGACGTCCACAACAACCTCTTCCCTCTGGAGGGCGAGGACGTCAAGATGCTCGACGACGTCTCCATCGTCGACACATGGAAGGCCATGACACAGCTGCCCAAGGAGAAGGCCCGCGCTGTCGGTGTCTCCAACCACACCAAGGAGCACCTCCAGGCCATCATCGACGGCACTGGTGTCACCCCCGCTGCCAACCAGATCGAGCGCCACCCCCGTCTCCTCCAGCCAGAACTCATCCAGTACTGCAAGGAGAAGAACATCCACATCACCGAGTACTCCGTAAGCCATCCCTTGCCCTCTCCCTTCCCAAACCCCCACTAACCACCCCCCAGGCCTTCGGCAACAACATGGTCGGCGAGCCCCTCCTCGTCCAGCACCCCACCATCAAGGAGATCGCCACCCGCATCAACGCCTCCCCCGCACAAGTCATCCTCGCCTGGGCCCAGGTCGGCGGCCACTCCGTCATCCCCAAGTCCGTCACCGCATCCCGCATCCAAGAGAACTTCAAGGAGGTTGATCTGTCGGAAGACGACTTTGCAAAGGTCGAGGAGATTGGCAAGAAGGAGCCGCGTCGCTTCAACATTCCTTACACGGCTAACAAGCCGAGGTGGCCGGTTAACATCTTCGGTGAGCCGGAGGAGAAGGATGCGCCGCATAAGGTTGTTATCAAGGTCTAGGTGATTTAGGGTCGTCGGCTGTTGGTGTGAAAATGTAAATGAACAATAGAACAATACCCCCACATATATCATACTCTGAGGTTGGAACTTGATGGATGACCCTGTGCACATGCATGCCGGTTTACATACAGCACGTGTCTAACGTAGCTGGCCATACTGCAGGTCTCAATAGAACCTGAGTACGGCTGAGGTAAAGAAGTGAAAGTTTATTCGATGTTCATATTGGTGCTCTGAATACACAACAGTATCTTGACTGAATATCATCAATGCGTATTCAAAGTCGTCGTAATCGATTATCATGAGATGAGCGCGAACGCAAGAAGTTCGATGGGATCCATCGGGGAGGGAGCGCGACGACCCGAAAATGCAGGGATGCGCACGCGGGTAGGCTAGACTATGCGTCATGACGTAGTATTAAACTCGAGCAACAACGCGCTTCACTCCGCTGCGTTTACGCCCTTCACAAACAAAACTGCATGTTATATCGTGATAAGCAGTCTGATCTATCCATAGGACATGTGGTGATATTTAGCACAAGACCTAAATCATGCCTTCCTCATTCTGGTGCTCTGGACCCTGGCCGAGCCTTGTTGAGCCTATTACGACGCGACTGATCACTTTCTGGGGTCAAATGTCTCGTTACCGTTCTCACAGTTCCCAGTCACTTGCGCTCTCTTCGGTCTTTCCGTTTGCCTGCGTACCATGAGGACGAACACGTTCCGGCGGCGCTTTATGAGCCCGATATGTTTTGCGTCATTCATCTATAATCACTTTCTCACCTACACCACTACACCAATACACCTGCCGCAACAGCAAGAAGACCACTCGTGGAAGCAACACTGCAGCAGTCGAAGACCATTGTCTGCTCGCTAATCTGACACGCGAACGTCATAAGAACTTTCAGGGTACTACTGCACCTCAACCCTACACACACGCACCATCTCGATTCTTAGCAGCACATTCACTTCGGCTTTTCGTCATCGCTTATATTCGTAGACAGACCTAGATTTTACAACACAAAGATTTTTGCGAATACAATCCAAAGCCCGACAATCCCGCCCACACTGCGCAACCGTCGCGATGCCTCTGAACAATGGCGCCAAAGCGGCGAACGAGCACCTCATTTTCGTCAAGAACGTCCCCGGCTACATCGAGACAGACGAGTTAAAACGAATGTACGAAAGCTACAATCCGACAAGCCTTAAGAACGTCTATCCGAATAGCAATGTCACCACAATCGTCGTCGGCTTCCGCACCAAAGCCGAAGCAGCGCGAGCTCAAGAGGAGACAGACCAGACGCGCATAGCAAACGTCATTCTAAAAGTGGAAATGTACAATCAGCGGCAGTCAGTGAGATACCTGCGGGATCAAGGGCAAGCGAGTCGGCCGCTGGGAATGGCGGAACAGGACGAACCAGGATACTTCGACGAGCCAGCGCAAGAAGACGCACCGGTCTTTACACCACCGCTGGAACCATACGTTGCGAGAGATCCCGCGGCGGCGCCACAGGGTACCACGTGGGCTGACATCGCTGGCAATCGAGCTGCTCCGGTCAAGCACACGACCAAGCTAGAAGGAACAGACAGCCCAGCGACTGTACCATCCACACCCAACTTCACACCTCGCATGCCAATAGCTGTACCGCAGAAGCTCCCGCCCGGTCAACCACAGCCAGGCAGCTCACCACCCCCAGCAGCCGTCTCACTAGGACACAGCACTCCCGAGGCCCTGACCATCCCGCCGGCTGTCACCGACGTTAGCACCGACAGCGGCAGCGAAGCCACCGATGAGACCGATGAGAATGAAGAGCACGATAGGATGATTAGCGATATCGCGATCTGGCAAGCGACTGCACAATGGGCGAATGAGACCGTCGGATACCAATCACCGGGTCAACAAGTAGAGCCTCTCGATACTACAGCGCGGATCCGGCAACGACATTGTCGGGACTGCGTGTTTTGTCAGATGCGGAATCGCTCTTAGGGGGAGGATGAAGAGCGACGAGACAAGCCTGAAGAGACGGAAGGTGCTCTGGCGTCTTGCGATGCGGATACTTTGGAAGGGCTGGAGAGGGACTTGAAACTCGTATTGGGGGCGATCTGATGAATTTTTTTGGACTTTTGTTAGATCAGTCGCGATAGTCGGAGAATCAGAAGCTTGTGAGACAAGTCTTATCCTGTGGATGTAATTTCAGTGATGAGTAAAATAAGTGAGCCAGCACGATAGGATAGCGAATGCTTGCGAGGGGAACAAAGACGCGTCGCGCATTTGGCAGCGACGACGCGACGGATGCACGGGTTAGCTTGATCAACGTCATCGTGGCTTCCGTTCGCGTTAGCGCACCTGCGTCGGGGCTTCTTGCCCGGTTAGCCATCCTCAATCCATCAACCTTCATCGCTTTCATCATCAGATTCATCACAGGCGTGCAAAACGTAGATACATTGACCACATTGGTTTTTCATTCTCAAGCCCGTCAAGAGCTCTCATTACCGTGTTTTACGCTACTCCCATATTCCAATGCAAAAGCATGCGAAAAGAATCTGCTGACAAGGACTTGCAGCTTTTCATGAGCTCGCGAAGAGCTTTACGTGTCTGAACTCCATTCTACCCATATCGCAATCCCGACCAAAGCGGGAGAAACGTTTACCGTGAACATCCAACACCCCATATACCCCATATCGCGAGGTCACTCTGCTCCGCTCGTCTTAAATGGATTCTCGTCGCACACCTACCATGCTCTTGTCCGATGGTACCCAGGCTGCTTTGTCGCCGGTGCAGTTGCAAGGACCGGGCTCACTGCAGCAAGCGTGTTGAGATTGGGTCTAAGATGGTTAGTTGACTTGACAACGAAGAAGGATTTCAGCGAACATACCGATAGGGGCCCATGCTCTAGATCAAGCTGTCCGGATTGTCGCTCCCTAGCTAGGGCTGCCTCAGCAGCTGATGCATCGATTTCAGCTTGAAGCTCTTCTAGTGCAGCCTCAGTCTTCGCCTGAAAACGGCGCATGTATTCTCTCAAGAAGAACAATGCCGAGTCCGGATACAGCGTGCCCCAGATGGTTGTATCTTGCGTAGCGCGGAAAGTCCTTATCTCTGCCATGTTGATGAGCGACACCCTGTCGCCTGCCTGCGAGTCCTGGCACTCTTGGACATGCACGACAGGAAGCCCATGAACGTTAGAGTTGTCCAGTCCATCCGGATACAGTACGCGCATTGTCTGGGCAAGCTCCCCTGGTGTCAATTTCGAATCGCCGTCGCCGCCGTGTCGGGTCATCCTCAAGCATTCGAGACTCGCGTCCTCTTCATTCTTGAAGAGAACCATCCAGGGCGCGCCCTTCACACAATAAAGACCGTCGAAAGTTGGGAAATAGTCTGACCTGGCGACGCTGGCATTAGGGTTCATTGTTTTGTCAGCAGTAACCTCCCAAATGATCGTGCCGGTCTTGATCTTCTTGAGTTTCTCCTCTGATATCTTCTCCCTTACCCATACGCATTCTTCCAGACGTGACATCAGTTCCATCAACTCTGTCATGTCGGGCCTGTCTTTATCTTCTTCGGACGAATCAGATAGGTCGGTAATACGTTGGCCTGTAATGCGATGGAGCAAGGACATCGAGACGGTCGGTGGTACATCCATCTTTCCAGCCGCCGATACAGTGTTTGGCGCGACTGAAGATGCGTTGCTCTCCGGAGTAGCGACGCTAGATGTGTCGACTTTCTTGAACACAAAGACACGATCGCCCTTTGCTGACTCTGATATGATATTAGTCAAGACCGCTTGGCTCGCATAGTCGAACTATGACATCATGCGATCGAGTTACTTACGGGGTGGGGCTTGTCCGTCTACAATCTTGACCACTTTGCGACCAATCTCGCGCGGCGCATCCTCGTCATCAGCCTTCCTCTTCCTGCTTTGGCCCGTCATGTCGAGTCGAAGCGTCGTGGCTGTGAGGATTGAGTATTGAGTGTTGGTCACACTGTGCAGCGGACGAGCGACTTCGGGTGGGGGCGGCAAAGGGGATTTGGAGACTGATGAACCCAAGGGTAGCGAGCCGGACGGAGGCTAGTGGCCCGTCAAAGAGAGTTCAGTGGACAGGGGGGCTTGACCGTGCAGTGGATGTTCAAGTTCCTCAATCCGCGGTGTGCGGGCGGTAGGTCTTTCGGGCGGTAGACCTTATGAACGGGTGGTGGAAAGAACACCCGGCGCGCGGTTGAGTGTAAGGCAATCGGTGTGGAGAAGAAGTTATTACCCCCACCAGTAGTTGAGGACCCAGGGCGACTAGGGCTCGAAATGAAGGCCTTAAGAAAGACATCGGTCATAGCGCCCGTACATCACGTGGGGATGCTCAGATCGGTGAATACCTGACTCCTGAGTCTCTCTACCCTGCACTTGCGCAGGCGCTGTTGACCCCTCTAGTTTCGTCAATTCGCATCGTTACTTGGGCATCTGCTGACTCGATATAAAACCACGACGAAAGCACTACGTATAAATTCGTGATACGTTTTACCAGTAGTCGTCCTGATCCGAACTACACCCAATAGCATTTCAAGGCTGGTTCACAAGACGACTGGTAAACGGCGAATTCTTGCGTTTCTTGACTGACGAAGCCACAAAGCGAGTCCAGTACGCAACGCTACAAAGAGGAAAGTGCTTTCTAAAGACGCAAAAGATCAAATTGAGTTTCGTGTCTTTGGTGAATGACTTGGAAGACAGATGAGCTCCTCCGTAGAGCGATATGGTATGCTCTTAAGGGAATTATTCCCGGCTGTCGCAGCGAGTAGGAAACGATGCCTAAGGACAAAGACGTCGGTATGCTCTTTGATGGTTTTGACAAAGCTGCCGGAACCCTCGTGGTACCGTCTTTGTCTTCAGTCTCAATTCATCAGCTCGACCCCAAGCTGGCTCATATCTCAATCAACTCGCGTATGTCATCGAGCGGCGCCTAGAGATAGCCTTAACTATTAGCACTGCCAGCGTACCAATGTCGCAGCATGACGGCGGCCAATTGCCGGGAGACCAGTCGAGAGATACCGAGAAGGAGGAGAATTCCTCGCATTCGGAGCCACCAGCAAGCCCAAAGGATCACGATGCAGGTTCAAAGGCGGCGGGTGAACAGGCTGAAGACCATTTCAAACTTTGGCAGACGGTACACATGGATGAAGACTCCAAGACAAGCTACAAGACGGGCTCGGCTGCGTTCATTGCGGTTCCTGTAGACGGAACGCCGGTCATGGCGCTATTGCTGTCTTTCCAACTCGGTCAAAGGATGTTAAATTGCGTAAAGCTTCAGCGCGCTCACGGAGAGCTCGAGCTCAGCTCCAAAATTGATATTACACGCATCGATAAAAAGATCTCAGAACTTCAACGACTCGTCGACTCCTCCAGCATGGCACTAGCAAAGGCTGAGATGGCAAAGCATACCACTGAACAGGAACACCAAGATGGGTCGGGTACGAGAATCATAAGGATGAGGGAGAGACTATCGAAAGCAAAAGAGGATATCTCACGGCTTCGGCGGGAGAAAGAGGCCATCAAAAAGAAAGAGGAAGACTTGAAAGAGGAGTGGTACAATTGGATGGAGGCTGTTTCTTTGGGTCATGACGACGCTTTCATCAAGGCCGGCATCTTGCCGGACTACGCCAAAGACCAGAATGAAGATATAACGGGTCGTAAATCTTCAGAGGAACAACAACCCGAAGGCGCTGGTGCTTCTATAGAGGCTGGAAAGCCGCGCGAACATCCAGCCAAAAAGACAAAAGGAGCAGAAGCCGAAGGTGTGCCAGCTACAACGCCCGTCATCGAGACCGTCGCAAGAAAAGAAACACCGGCCAGCAAAGAGCTTGTACCTTACGACAAAAGCAACGAACCCAGCGAGGCCCAATTACTGAAGGAGGCTAATATCAGAAGCAAACTCCACGCAGCAAGAAAAGCCTTCCGCGAAGCCGAGAAAGCACACGAGGGCCATCGATCTTCTTACAACCTCGAACTCACCAAGTTCTGCGCACAAAACCCAACCAAACCCTACAACGAATTAGCTCCTATGTTTCCCAGCTTCTTCCTCAGAAACGGACAAAAGCTGATAGGCGAATTACGTGAAGCAGAGCATGCGTATCTGGAGGCAGAGAGACGCGCTCTCGATGCAAACATCTTCTTGATCCAAGATGAACTTATCGAAAAGGATGTTAACCCATACCTGGATCTTGACGAGCTGGACGCGAGAAATACCGTTGGCGACAAACAACCTATTTACAGGTGGCGTCATGTTAAAGCTGGTATGCTCACTCCGCCGTCTATTCATACGATCGATACGTTCTATGATGCAAGCTCCAGTGACGATGGAGACAGTGCTGGGAGTGTTGTAAGTGCGCAAGACGTTGGGGTTCAGAGGATAGAAGACTATCAACCATCAGCACCATCCGCGAACAACATTGTCGACACCAACGTAGCAACACCGGCGCAAGATGAGCCCGAGCCTCTTCCGGTAGATGAACACACCCCGGAGCAGGCGGTCGAACTGAGCAAGCCTGTTGCAAGTCACTATTCAGGCTCGTCTACCGAATTAGCCTCCACAGTAGATGGCGCAGCTTCTCCTGGGGTGGTGGAAAAGCGCAAATTCTGGGGTCAGGTTCAAGGACATGACAGCTTTAGTGTTGTCGATATGCAGGACAAACGACAAAAGATTGATATTTGGCAAAGGGAATGCGCGCGGTGGAGGGCTAGTAATTTACATTTCGAATGAAACGCGTGCTTTTGTCCGTAACTCAAATACTTCATTGGCTCCCGCAACTCCTGCGCTACCAATGTTGACTTTGTCTCTTTCGCAATGCTCTCAGTGAAGATGGTCGCACCGGATCAGGTCACGCGTTGCCTTTCTGGGTTAGTAGAGGCTCGTGATTGGGCCCTGATGTCCCCTCCCACCCGTGGACAAAGGCGCAAATACTTGTACAGCCTTGTCACCTATGCTCCTCATCTCTTGAAGTTACAGCCAGCGCCACGACACTCATCCAGTCATGTCTGATTTTGTCCACCTGGTCAAGATTCCCGGGACGGACACGGTGGAGGGTCTGAAGGAAGCCATAAAAAACCTTGATGAGGAGTGAGAAACCGATAGAATATATCTAGCTACGAATTGTCGGCTGACTTTAAATACCAGAGCACGCGAACTCGACGAGAAACACGCTGAACAAGCTCGTTTGGCGAACGAGGCCATACAAGACCTGAACGCGAAACATCTTGCCTTGCGCGCGTAAGTCACACAAGATCTGAACGAGCGTATCCATTCATACTAACGACTGTAGCACCTTGTTGATGATGGGAGACAAGCAGTGCCGAGAAGTTCTACAAGAGCTTCCGAAGGCGGTTCTGGAGAAACTACCACGTGAGCTCCGCGATATGGTCTACACGGAGCTATACCGTGGAAGTCAGGACAAGCCGTACGAGATTACCGACGGCGACTCCAAGCATCCACACGACCCCTTGCATGAGTTTGCGCCCATAGTCAAAGCATTTCATGAGCCTTACTGGATGGACAAAGAAGAGGTCGGACATGAGTTCGCACGGGAAGCTGTAGAGGTCTGGTACAAGTGCGCTCATCTCTCGATCCATATCAAGCTTCTGCAACCACTCTTGCAAGACGACGATGGCGTCTTGTATGAACAATGGTCGCCTTCGGTCCGGACATGCAACTTCCTTAGGAAATTGGACGTCATCATTGGGCCCGCGACTTTACCGATATATTTGGAAGAGAGTAGGCCGTCAGGTCAAGCGGTAAACATCCGACAGATATGTCGGTCACTCTCCGCCCTATTGGAAGAACCGAGTGTCGCGCAGAAGGAGGGTTTCAAATTGCACATTACCTTTCGATGGGCTATGGAAGACGAGTGGTCTGACTACCTCAAGGCAATCTGCCCAGTGGTCTATCGTTTGAAAGCCCAAGGCTTCCTGGTGTCAGGCAGCCAAGCTTATGGACAGAGCATCTATGCAGTGTGCAGCCACTTCGGCCGAGACGACTGTGAGTGCGAACCCTGGCAACGTGGAGACACTAGCTGGCACATTCTCGATGTCTTTGATTGGTTTGACTGCTCGGAAGAGGAGTGTATGCAGAGGATAGAAGAGGAGAAAGACAAAATCTGGGAATGAAACAGCGGCGATTGGGAGGAAGGCATGGAAAGTGAAGTCGTGAGCATGGCGCCAGTTGGTAAATGGGATGGCTGGTGCCCGCCCTTCCCCATAGTCACATGAACTGTAGTTCATCGCATCTAGACGCTTTGTTAGAACAATAAGTCCTAGTAAACACCCTGCTGTGCCGATCATTGTGACATCCTAGCAGCTAGCTGACCAACCGAATGCGCGTGTTGATTGAAATGTCGGCAACGGCGCGTCTAGACGCGTGTATCGTGAGCTGAATATGAGCGACTAGGCGCGAGACGCTAGACGCGCGCTGTGGAAAGACAATCATCTTCAGTAAAGCGGGCGAAGGTAAGGGAAGCAAAATTCCGTTGACGCGTCCAGGAGAGAGTTGGTCACGCCCGTCCAAGATCAACATTACGGCCCTCTTATACTGGCCAATCGCGCTGCCCATCCTCTCGCAACAGGGGTATCGGCCCCCGCAATTGCCGCCCTCATCTTCGCCACCCAAACATCAACACGGGCTTGATAAGGCCTGTCGCATCCCGCGAGTCCCTGCATAACATCCTTCCTGCGGCTATATCTTTTGTTCTGCAAAGTAACAGCGAATAAACATGCCCAAGTTCTTCAAGCGCATCTTCAGCGATGCTTTGTTCCGGAAAGAGCCGGACGTCAGCGACATGCAGCGATCGCGGCGCGTGCTGGTGAGGAGCTCGGGGGGTATGCCGGAGGAACAGACGAACTGGAGAACATCGTTCTTCGATATTCAGGTTCAGGATGAGGAGCGTCGTGCGTTGAGGGATGGGGCAAGTGTAGCCGGTAGCGACATGCATGCCGCCGAACGACCTATTCTAGCACCGAGCCATGAACAAATACCAACGCGCAAGCCGAGTCGTGCGCGGAGACGACTTAGCAAGAGGCATCGGAGACCTGCTTGAAGTGGTGTTGGAGGTATGTATATTTCATGCGACGTCAAGTGCTTGATGCTGACACGTCTCTCTAGAAGGTCATCGCGGCGTCGTTACGACCACATGCTGGCATGATGGAAGTACGACACTATGGAGCTAAAAAGAGATGTGTAATCGTGCACGAGCGACATCCTCCAATGCGATGGATCGTGCCATGATGGAAATGGCTATGATAGTAGCATTTCCTGACACAGCCTGGCAGGTCAGCTACGCACAGTGGTGGGTGCAGATGGATGGATTTCCACATCATGCCATTCCAGATGGAATCCTCTACATTCGTCAGCCCGACTAGCATACCAAATCTCTACTCGCAACGACAGCCTTCTTAGGACAAGACGAAGGATTGATATAATCGGGGCTCGTCACGTGTTTTGCCCCTCATCGAGCCTTGGCTTGTCAGCTATCCCAGGTTTACGGAATGGATATGGATCACTGAACATTAAACGTTGTCTCACTTCCGCATCTCGTCTTCTTTTCTTAAACATCTATTACCTTCTTTTGTTGTCTTGCTATCGACACCTATGCAGCGCCAGCTGGTATTGATTATCTTCTTTCGCCATTCGAGAATTGACTAGCCTAATAGCAAAGGAAAATTCTTACTTACATTTGGCCATCATCTTGAGCGGTACTACCACCTAGATCTGCCTGATCCGCTGACCTTTCCGCTGGCAGAGTATTCTGTAATTGCTATACGACTTTAAGCTGTTGAGAAGGACTTACCGAATAACTCGGAGCTCGACAAACGCTGCGCTGCCTGCTCGGAGCGTTAACGATATGCGATTATATACCTCCCTTCTCTGCCTGCTCTGCATTTCATCGCACAGCGACGCAGTTGGCCAGCGGTGCAAATGTGTGAGTTGAGATTACCTAGGTACGCATCCTCTGAGTACGGCTGATGCATATACCAGGCACCTGGTGATGCTTGTTGGCCTTCTATCAACGAATGGGGCGATCTTAACAAGATACTTGATGGCGCACTTATCCGCAGCGTGCCACCGGGATCAGTCTGTTACCCGTCGAGGCCGGAGTTCGATCGAGAAGCCTGTGACTACGTGACGTCGCAGTGGTTTAACTCGTCATATCACGCCGCGCATCCCGTCAGTATCGACTACCCTATATGGGCAAACGACTCTTGCAATCCAATTTTTCCAAACGGGACTAGCATCACCGGTAATCCACATGCTGAAGTGCAGGGATGTAACATCGGCAACTACCCCGCCTACGTAATGAATGCCACCACTGCCTCTCAAGTCAGCACAGCTTTGGTTTGGGCAAATACAAAGAGTATCCGCGTTGTCGTCAAGGCGACTGGACACTCATACCAAGGCCGCAGCACTGGTTATGGCAGCCTAAGTATATGGACGCACCATATGCGTGGCATCGATTATCTATCTCTTTTCAAGCCCAAGTCATGCCACTCCGAAACTTCATATACTGCTGTTCGTGTTTCAGCCGGCCATACGAACATTGAAGTACAAGAAGAAGTAGCTAATCACGGAATGGCGATTGTAACAGGTGCCAACCCCAGCGTCGGGCTCATTGGGTGGCTCACAGGCGGTGGTCATGGACCGCTTTCGACAAGCTACGGGATGGGGGCCGACAACTTGCTTGAGGCCACCATTGTCACACCGAATGGTGAAGTCGTCCTCGCCAACCCATGTCAGAACCAAGAATTGTTCTTCGCTATACGGGGCGGAGGTGGCGGCACATTCGGCATTATCACTGAAGTCGTTGTTCGCACTTTTCCAACCCCGAAGACTACTGCACATACCTTCCAAGTCCGGTTAAAAGACTCAGGAAGAAGCACGGATTTCTATAAGTTCTTGGGATTTCTGCACGCAGAGATGCAGCGGCTGAAAGAAGGCGGCATGCAAGGGTATTACTTGGTTGTGGGACCGCCTATTGTTCCCACTCTGTCCTTCTCCTGGACATTCTTACTTTACAACGCTCCAAGCGGAGCGGCTGAGCTACTCATGGAACCTATCGAAGCGTATCTGCAGGCGCGGAAACAGGTTTTTGAATGGCAGTCGATATTATCGCACACGGATACGTACCTGGAGATGCACAAAGCCAATTTCACGAACGAGCAAGTCGCAAATGGTGGCTCGGCATATGGGTCGAGATTGCTCAGTGCTGAGAGTCTGACGAACCCACACCTGACGGCGATCGTATTTTCGAAGATCGGCCCAACCGATGATGCCTTTGAGCCAAATGTAAAGGACCTCAGCTCTGGTTGACATCTGTGATCTTGGCTAACATACCCATAGGGACCAGTAACTAACCCACTCCTCATTGGCCACATGATTGGTGCACCGAACGAACCAGCTTACTACCCTCTTCAAAGCAGTCTTAACCCTGCATGGCGGAACACTCTCACGCACTTTATCGTCGCATCGCCGTTCGGTGACACTGCATCCCAAGCCACCATCGATAATGTGTATTCAGATATCACCCGCAGAAAAACCGAGGCACTGCGGCAACTCAGCCCCGACACTGGCGCATACTTCAACGAAGGTGATAGCTATGAGCCGGAATGGCAAGAAGCTTTCTGGGGCGAAAGGTATTGGATGTTGAGGGGAGTGAAGAGGAGGGCCGATCCAAAGAACGTACTTTGGTGCCGTAGATGCGTTGGGAGTGAGGCGTTGGTGGAGACCAAGGATGGGCGGTTGTGTGAGGTGAATGCGGAGAGCCACGACGAGCTCTGAGGCAGACCAGCTGTAGCATTGGTGGCTTTAAGCTGTCGATATCTGGACTTATGAATGATCCGCATCGATTCCTCATGTTGTCAATCGCTGATTTTGAGGTGTTTTCCTCAAAGTGTTGTGCAGTTGGCTTCACGGAAGACCATCTGGACGCCGGAGATGAAGTTATTTCCGGGCCGAGATGGAGCCGCAGGCCACTTAGTCATCAACGACATTGGATCATCAAACGCGCCCCTGTCTCCTACGCGAACGCGGTCTACAACATCGCTCAAGCAGCCGTACTGCGTAATGTTGCAAACGTCGATGCAACCCTATCAGTTCTATCTGAGCAGCTCCACACATCTTCACGTAGATATACCAGTACGGCCCGACCTTTGACCTCGCACCGCGTCCATCCCCTTCAAAATCGACCTCCCATACTCGCTGGTCGATTGCCAGACACAACGTACACTGTCTGATCATGTGGTCCAGGTGATCATGAGATTAGGCAAGCTAGGCATAGTGGGCAAGCTATAAACCGGGTACATGGCGACTTTGGGAATCCCCCTAGACTCGACGCGTCGCATAGAAAGCTTGCGCGACTGCTCCACGCGTACAATGTCAAGCTGGCAATTGGTCAGGGATATGCCTTGGTGCCTCTTTGAACAACACAGAGGCAAAGGGATCCAGGATAAGAAGCCAGCAGCACATCGCAAGCCGGTGGTTGGTCGGAGAACACCGCTTTGACGCGGAGCAAGACGGTGCCAAGACATACATACGCCCAATCTCCAACCTCTTTTGAAAAGATGGTACGTGGTTATCTTCACCGCTCGTTTATGTCCGGGTCTTCTCTTTGGAGAAACGTACGTACAGGCATATCAGGGAGATACCTTTCTGAAAACCTGCTGGTCGAAGAGTCAATGTTTGCGATCATGAGTCGTGGTAGACATGATCATTCAAGGTGCTTTGGACTGCAATGGAGCACTTTGCAATCAGGCATTGTATCCAGGTTGTCTGGGTGTGTTTCGCGGTGTATGACTTCCAGCAGGCATCGTTACATCAAGCTTAACCCATTGAGATTTGGTTGTTGAACACGGACTCCTCTGAGGCCTTACCCACAGACCGTCATCGTACATGAACACGCTTCTAGATTGACTCCACTCTGTTCTCCCAGCCTTCTTTCGGATCCTCGCCTCCAGCCTTTCGATCCTTTCAACGGCTATTCACGTGAAAGACCAGAACGCCTTCGAGCTGACTAGCAACTGAGGGTGTATTGCAAACCTAGAAAGCACTGCCTTTCTCATGCACAGACCTTGGAATTCTCCCAAAGTGCTCATTACACCTCACCATCATCCGACTTTTC